ATCAGACACTTTAGTTAATTTTTAATTCATTCTAAGCACAATATATCTTAAGTTATACATAATTTTCCTAAAATATATTTACATATCTAAGACAACACCCACCATATGCAAATAAGTAACTAATTAAAAATTAATATATTTTAAAAATATTACAGTTGAATTCAGAGATGCAATCCAATTTATCCAAATGATAACTAAATCAACCGTAAAACAACAAAATTGACTAGATATAACATATATAAAATTACAGTATAAGTAAAGTAATATAATACTATTAATATAAATGATACATACAAATTATAAATTAATTTAAATTAAAAATAAATAATAATCAATTATTATTATATATTTAATTTAAAAATATTTATACCCGTGCATGAGCACGGGAAAATCACCTAGTTACATATACTGTATGTGTATATATCAGAATGAGATTATTCAAAAACTCCATTTTAATTAAAAGTAGGCATAAAGTGTACTTGTGCAATTTAATACCCTTCAAGATCGTATATGTACAGTGGTACGATGTAACGCGATGACACTTATGCTACTATATTTAGAAATTGGAAAGCTCAGAGACACAAGCTAGGAAGATTAATAAATGATATATGTAGTATATATGGACCACATGATTTCCCCTTGAATAAGATGTATCACAAGTTCTTCAACTTCAGTTATATATGCTTATTAGGGAAGCATTTTTTTTTCGTTTGAAATACGTTCATGAATGAAACTAGACGATTTAAGAAATTTGCAGGTAAATTCAGCTGGATAATTAGATATATATATATATATATATATATATATATATATATACATAGTATTTTTGACATAAAAATCTAGGGTTTATAAATTTAGAGAGGGTATATTGGATAACTGATTTTAATTGATAAAACATGGATGACAAAAATGATAAAAAACGGAGGGAGTATATGTTATTGATTTTAAAACTTTGGTTTATTGAAACTTGTGTGATTAGTTTTATAATTTGTAATTGAATATAATGATCTTATTTTTTTATTTGTTTTATATTTTTAAAACGATAAATATAAGAGTTAATTTGTTGAGAATACGAAAAGAAATTGAATACCTTAATTTTGAGGAAAAATATTAATGATGGAGGAAACAAAAAATTGAGAAAATAGGATATAGAGTACAAATAGGGTAAATGTTGTGTGTAGGAAGTGCAAATTTCCTAAAATATAAATACAAAACGTAAAACTCGAAAGGACCTATGTTTATATTAGTTACAGGTTTCAAAATCAAGCATTATACCCAAGATTAAATTTTTTGAAATTTTAAATTAATAAATAATTTAAAATGTATTAGAAACCATAAACCATAAGTATTTTAGTTGCTGAAGTTCTGCTTGTAGAACATTTTTTCTTACTTTGGTAAAAAGATAGAATGTTTCATATCTGCAATACTTATAAAATCTACTTTTTCAAAAACAGTATAAATATATTAGAGTAAAACTGAAATTCACAGGAAGAGGTTGGAACACTCATACGCGAGCTAGCGCGTGCAAACAAGAAACCAGTGAACCTAGGCCAGTTGGTAAACATGTGTGTAATCAACGCCCTTGGACGAGAGATGATCGGACGGCGACTGTTTGGCCCCGGAGCCGATCACAAAGCCGAGGAGTTTCGATCAATGGTCACAGAAATGATGGCTCTGGCCGGAGTATTCAACATCGGAGATTTCGTGCCCGCACTTGACTGTTTAGATTTACAAGGCGTCGCTGGTAAAATGAAACGTCTACACAAAAGGTTCGATGCTTTTCTATCGTCGATCTTGGAAGAGCACGAGACTATGAAGAACGGTCAGGATCAAAAGCACACGGACATGCTTAGCACTTTAATCTCGCTTAAGGGGACTGATTTTGACGGTGACGGTGGAACTCTAACGGATACTGAGATCAAAGCCTTGCTATTGGTAATACTCCCAACCTTTTTTTTTTTTTTTTCGTGTCGTGGGGAAATCTCACCCAAAAATTCCTAAAGGAGAAATCGAAACCCAGTGCCTTGGGTACCACTTAGCCACTAGGCTAAGACTAACCCGGCTCCCAACCTTTCATTTAATTATCAAATTTGTTTATATAGATTAATAAATCATTTAATTTTACATGTTTTAATAATAATAACACAATTATATATATATTTAAACATATTTTAACTAATAAAAAAATAAAAATAAAACTAATAAATTCTATATTGAAACTAAAAACCAAATTTATTTTCTAGAACGACCAATAAATGGAACGGAACGGAGGGAATCAAAATTAATTTCTTAATATAATAAAATAATCTTGTTGATATTTTTTCTTTTTTCTCTTACAGAACATGTTTACGGCTGGAACTGACACATCAGCAAGTACGGTGGACTGGGCCATAGCTGAACTGATCCGTCACCCGGATATAATGAGAAAAGCCCAACAAGAGCTTGATTCCGTCGTCGGACGTGAAAGGCCCATTAACGAGTCAGACCTTTCTCAGCTTCCTTACCTTCAGGTAACCCAAACCTGGAACTCTGATTGTTTTTGGTTAAGCTATAATTATAAACCGGTTTTGGTTTAAAAACAGGCGGTTATCAAAGAGAATTTCAGACTCCATCCACCAACACCACTCTCATTACCACACATCGCATCAGAGAGCTGTGAGATCAACGGCTATCATATCCCCAAAGGATCAACTCTTTTGACAAACATATGGGCCATAGCCCGTGACCCAGACCAATGGTCCGACCCGTTATCATTCCGACCCGAGAGATTTTTACCCGGTGGTGAAAAAGCTGGTGTGGATGTGAAAGGAAACGATTTCGAGCTAATACCGTTTGGAGCAGGGAGGAGAATCTGCGCCGGGTTGAGTTTAGGGTTAAGGACGATTCAGTTGCTGACGGCGACGCTTGTTCACGGATTTGAATGGGAGTTGGCCGGAGGAGTTACGCCGGAGAAGCTGAACATGGAGGAGACTTATGGGATTACTTTGCAAAGAGCGGTTCCTTTGGTTGTGCATCCTAAGCCAAGGTTGGATATGAGTGCTTACGGGCTTGGGTCGGCTTAAACCTAGGTTTGCTTGCGTGAGAAGGTATAGATAGGTATGGTGATGTTTGTGTTATAATGTAAGTCCGTTAAAATAAAGTTATTTCAAACGGCGTAAGTTGGTTCTTAAAAATATAATAATAAATATGTAACTCCGAAAATTATGTTAATTAAAATTGTGTGATTTTTTTTTTTTTATCTTGTCTGCATGGACAAGACGATGGCTGTCGGAAGCAAACCCGTTTCAGTTATCTGCTTTCATACCGCGACTTTAGATTCATAATATGATGCTTTTTAAATTCAAATTTTTGTGTATTTTATTATTTCCGATTTTTTTTTTGCAGTATATCTTGTTGCAATAAAACATTTTTCCTTACAGTACCACATGCATTTAAAACTCTAGATTTTTTTTTGCCAGCAAAATCAGATTTTTCTATATTTGCCATGCATTTATGTAAAGAGAGAAAGAATGATAAACGTAAACTGTAACTTGATTATTATTGAGCCTGTAGACTTGTTTATATACATGAGACAAAGACTTGATCCCCAAGGGATAAGGACTTATTAAGACTTATCTACAACTTAACTATATCTATTAAAGTCGGTGAAGAGAATCCTTATGACAATAGGATTCCTTCTCCAATACTCCCCCTCAAGTTGGAGAGGGAAGTTCCTTGACACCCAACTTGGACGATAAGAAATCAAATTGTGAACGACCCAATGCTTTTGTAAGTATATCAGCTATCTGATCTCGTGACTTAACATAAGAAGTGGAGATGAGACCAGCTTTGACTGCGTCACGAACGCTATGGCAGTCTCTTTCGAGATGTTTAGTTCTCTCATGAAACACCGGATTTGCCGCAATATGCATCGCCGCTTTGCTGTCACAATAAAATGGAACTGGTGCAGTGACTGGAACGCCAAGATCATTTGCCATGTTGATAACCCATTTAATTTCCTTTGTAGCTGAACCCATCGCCCTATATTCAGCTTCGGCTGAGGAGAGTGAAACTGTCTTTTGTTTCTTTGTTTTCCAAACAATCGGAGAACCACCAATGAACACAACGAAAGCACTCAACGAACGACGAGAAGTAGGACAGGAGCTCCAATCTGCGTCAACATACAACGTTGGTTGGAGCTCTGTTTTTGAAGACAATAGGATTCCTTGACCCGGACATCCTTTGAGGAAACGAACAACGCAAATAGCAGCTTGCCAATGCTCTTCTCGCGGTGCTTGCATAAACTGAGACAAAAGATGAATAGCATAGCAAAGCTCAGGACGAGTGTTGGCTAGATAAACCAGTCGTCCCACAAGCCTTCTAAACTGCTTTGGATCACTTAACAGAGGACTCTTATCCGCGGACAATGTGTGATTTTGCTCAACTGGAGTGGCGACTGGACTTGAACTATTCAAATCAACATCAGAAATAAGATCTAATGTATACTTACGCTGAGACAGAATGATTCCCTCAGGTGAACGCGCAACCTCAATACCCAAAAAATATCGAAGTTTTCCTAGATCTTTCATTCGAAAGCACTGACCAAGATAAGCTTTAAACTTGTTGAGCAAGGAAATATCGTTACTTGCCAGAATCAAGTCATCTACATAGACTAAAACTCGGACTTCCTTGGCACCTTTTGTGTAAGAGAACAGGGAATAGTCATAGTAAGACTGAATGAAACCAAACTTCTTGAGGGCATCAGACAACTTTTCAAACCAACACCTTGGAGCTTGACGTAATCCATAAATAGCTTTCTTGAGGCGACAAACTTTTGATGGATCTGAGTGAGTAAACCCCGGAGGCAGACGCATGTAAACCTCTTCTTGGAGATCACCGTGAAGGAAGGCATTGTGGACGTCCATTTGATGGACTTCCCAACCTTTGCATATGCTTCTCCAAGATCGACAGGTGTGTCGCTTGCAATGATTCCTTGACAAACCCCTCCAAAACGAACTTCATCTAAGCCCATAATAAATTGATGGACTTTCTCTTCATCACGTTCCTTTTCATACTCTGCTGCTGCACTGCAACTGCAAGGAGGAAGTGGTTTGTACGTGTCTAACTCTTCCCAAAGCTTAGCTAGACGTCCGTAATACTCCATAACAGATTGACCTTCTTGTCGACATCTTGCAAGTTGTTCTTTAAGAAAGTGAATCTGAACCTTGTTTCCTACTGAGAATCTTTTCTTCAGATTTTCCCATAACTTATGAGAATCTGATATAAAAGTAACAGTCGAACGAACACGTGCTTCAATGGAAGATCGTATCCACCCAACAATCATGGAATTAACCGAAGACCAAAGCTCGAATTTAGGATCTGTAATGGATGGCTTAGGTATTGTACCATCAATAAACCCTAATTTTCTCTTTGCTCTTAACGCATTGACTAACTCCGTAGACCACTCGTTGTAGTTATCACCGGTGAACACCACAGATGTAATAAGTGCTCCAGGATTGTCTGAGGCAAACAGAGAATACGGAGACGTCGTATTCTTACCACTTAGCTCAACTTGAGCAGAACTTTCGACAACAGAATCATCCTCTCCAGCCATCGACTTGATGTACTAAAGAACGTAAAAAAAATTTGATCTCAGAATTTTAATGCTCTGATACCATGTAAAGAGAGAAAGAATGATAAACGTAAACTGTAACTTGATTATTATTGAGCCTGTAGACTTGTTTATATACATGAGACAAAGACTTGATCCCCAAGGGATAAGGACTTATTAAGACTTATCTACAACTTAACTATATCTATTAAAGTCGGTGAAGAGAATCCTTATGACAATAGGATTCCTTCTCCAATAATTTAAAAAAAGATAGAAGATATTGCCATATTTTCACATTACTGTGGAACACCACCACCACCTGCAATTCTGCAACACATGATGCGTTAGACATTCACTTGGCGTTTTCCAATAACTTAAATAGTAAATGTTTGTAGAAAAAAAAATGTTTGTAGAAAATAAAAGTTAGAGATAGCAAATGTTGTTTCCCTCTTTTTTTCTTCCATTTAAGCTAAAAGACTCTATATATATGTATATAACATTATAACTCGTTCGACCAGGCTGCAGTTTATATTTGTTAGAAATTTATCTTTCATTTTGTGTTGTTTAAGAGGCATCACAATCTTGTTAGTAGAAATTTATCTTTCTTTTTGTGTTGTTTAAGAGGCATCACAATTTTTTTATTTATTTAAATTTCGAAATGGGTGTATACTTACAAGTTCACATGGAGAGCTACAAACAATAATGAAAAAGCTGACTCAAGAAGGGCTAGAGAAGAAACAAGAGTCACGGAACAAGTTGTCCCTCTCAATCTCAGTACAGTACACTAGTGTCTGCTTGTACACACACACACACTCTCTCTCTTCTTCTTCTTCTATAACAATAATAGAAGAGAAACATCTATCTTACTCTATCTATATTTACACCTCTCTCTTCCGACTAATCAACAGTGTACATTTGTGTATCTGCATTCCATTCATGGCTGCTCTGTTTCTCTATCTTCTCAGTCTCCTCATGGCTGGCCAGTGTAGTAAGAACTCTCGCTCCTCACTAAATCTCTTTATTTCTTTTTTTCAATGTGTCTGTTGGTTGGAACTCAAATTTAATCAAACCTATCACTGTTCTCTTTCTTTATCTCTTTTAGCTTTAGTATTTTTCTTTCACTCTATGATTTTAAAACCACATGGTAGAATTTATCCTCAAAACCTCTATAATTTACTTGAACCTACATCACATCTACTATAGTTCTTGCTTGACAAGCAAAAACACTTGTGTTGATGATTTGCAAATCTTGTCTTTTAAAGTTTGAAATCCTCAAAAACAAGATCTCCTCAGATCTTCTTGACTCCACTTACAATCTGTATCCTTTGATAGGTGCCACATGGTGTGTGTGCAAAACAGGGCTGAGTGACTCAGTTCTACAAAGGACATTAGACTATGCTTGTGGAAATGGAGCTGACTGTAACCCAACTCACCCAAAAGGGTCATGCTTCAACCCTGACAATGTTAGAGCTCATTGTAACTATGCTGTCAATAGCTTCTTTCAAAAGAAAAGTCAAGCTGCTGAGTCTTGTAACTTCACTGGTACTGCCACTCCTACCACCACTGATCCTAGTAAGTTCCACAGAAATTTTGTGATTATTTAAAGCCTTAAATAGTTGCTTGAGACATAGACAGTACAAGGTCATTTTCTTGCTGCTTATCTCCCTGATATGTAAATCTTTTGTCACAGGCTATTCAGGATGTCCATTCCCTTCTAGTGTTAGGTATGGTTCTTTGCTTTATACATATTTTTCTTATTGAGTTTAATCTATAAAATGAAAGGGAGACAAACAATATATATCCCCCTATAATTAGTACTACACTTTAATGTTGGATTAGCTTATAATTTATATTTGCAGGACAGAGAAAAAGTATACTAAAAGAAGGCAGATCTAAATCAAAAGTTTACTTTTACTATTATTAAATAAAGGTTTAACTGTTGACAAAAAAAAATAAAGCTTTAACTAGATCACAACCTACAATTAATTCAAATTGTTTTCTTTATTTGGGGATTTTTTTTTTATTTGGGGATTATAATTTATTATAAACTTTAAACCTATAAATAATGTTTTGACTCCGTTTACCTTATTTGACCTGAGTTGAAAGACGTACTTACATAATACCAACGTTATTTTAGATAAAACTTACCTTATTTTAGATAAATTGTGATAATGAGTTTTGTTGTTTTACTTGCTTGTTTTACAGTGGCACTGGAGGTAGTGGCAGCACCAGTGGAGGTGGTAGCAGCACCAGTGGAGGTGGTAGCAGCACCACCGTGACGCCAGGCAAAAGCAGTCCAAAAGGAAATAGCCCAACCACAACATTTCCCGGTGGAAACAGTCCATACACTGGCAGTCCATTCACTGGTACACCAACCACTGGAATGTTAGGAGGCAATATCACTGATGCTACCGGAACCGGGTTGAACCCGGATTACTCAAACGAAAACACCGGTTTCGTGCTCCGTAATTCCAACACGTTGTTCATCTGCTTGTGTTCTGTCTTGATGATGATCTGAAGATGTTGAATGGTCTTTCTCCTAAATATGTTATGTTCTTGCTTTATTTTGGACTTCTGCTTATTGCTTATCAATTTTAAGGAAAACAATTAACAATGTAAAACATAATCGTTTTGGGACGAATTTGGTTTCTATTTAATATCTTAAGTCTTAAGCAACATATTAAATTTAAGTTTGACCATTTTTAGTTTTTTTTTCTTCTGGATTTGATTAATTAAGTCTGAGTAATTTAATTAAATAACTATAAATAAGCTAAGCTAATATTTAACTTGTTTCTATATGGCAATTTTTGCGATTTTAAGTCACACTTTAATGTAAAATCTCGGTTTAGGTTGTGGAATTGTTGTGAACAAAACACTCTTGACCGGTTAGAGTCTCCGACCGGTAAATTTTTATAAATACTTGGCAAGAAAACTGTTTTCTTCTACTTCAAGAAGCCGATCTCCTTCTTCTCTTTTTTTTTTTGCTTTTCTAAAATCTAAGTTCCTTTGCATAACCATCAAAGCCATTAAAAAAATCCTTTTGTAAAGAACTGATGAAGAATATGAGCAAAAACTCATCAGTAAGATCATCGTTTCTTGATTGTATCCTATGATCGTCTTTGCGAATCCATTGATTATCTAAAATCCAATAACAAATTTCTAGATAATTCTTGATCATCATGTTTTGTTATTGATCAACACCTTAATTCATATTTCCAACTGATTGGTTTGTGATCTGTTGATTTTATTAAAATTTTGTTACATAGGAGCCTTGTCAGGTATGTGGAGATATTGGCTTCGTGGATTTAATAATGAATTGTTTCTGTTGCAGAGAAGTCAGAGAGCATACGTAAGATTGTTTTCATTTCTTGTCTTTTTAATAGATTAGTACTCGTTTTATATATATAATTCTGATTGTATAAACTTTCTATTGTGTATGTGTTTTTAGCTATTGCGCAAAGGTCTGTTTAAAGTCACGTCCAGACATGTGGCTATGTGAAGTGTGCAGATCCTCAGCTCGCGTGTTAGACATACCGAGTCTTGTTGACAAGGATATGAAGGATTTAACAATCGAATTCTCTGGTGAAAGAAGTATATATACATCTCCAAGCAAGAAACACAAACTACCGTTTCTGGCTTTTCCTTCTCCAAAGAGAAAACCTAGGACGCCTCGAGTTCCATGTAAAATATATATGTTATGTTGATCAGTTTCTGTCGAAAAATGAGATATGATTTTGTGCTTGTGTTTCAATTTGTGTGTGTGTGTGTGTATTTTTTTTGTAGTTGATCCTGAGGAAGTTTACGATCAATAACCAGAAAGCTCATATCCGTTTAACTCCTAAGCTTCTTTGCTTAAGTGAGTCCAGGGTTCCTAGAGTTTTAGCTTCCTTGGGATTCAAGTTGCTTTCAGACTATGTGAGGTTGGACTTCATTGTCGTGTGACTTCTCTCGTTGACATTAATTGTGCTTTACTCTGCGTCCTGACTAGGATATTCATTTGAGTTTGTTTTAGGGATATTTTGTTTTCATCAGATTAATATGTTCAATACTTAAAATTTGTGTTTGGCTAGCCATTTTATTTTCTGGTTATTGAATGCTGATAAAAATGCTGATTTGCATACTTTGAGCCAAATTGTTATTTGAAAATCAACCGCGTTTTTGTTTATTTCACAAAAAAATATATGTAACGACTTTTCAAACTTTTGTGGTTTTTATTTTGTTTTCATCATATTAATTTGTTCAATATTTAAAATTTGTGTTTGGCTAGCCATTTTATTTCCTGGTTATTGAATGCTGATAAAAGTTCTGATTTGTGTACTTTGAGCCGAATTGTTATTTGAAAATTAACCGCATTTTTGTTATTTTACATAAAAAATATATGTAACCATTTTTCAAACTTTCGCGGTTTTTATTAATAACCGTTAGATTTTAGTATATTTAAATTTATAGTAGCATAATATATTGTTAAAATATCATTTTTGGTATAAACCTACAAATAGATTACAATTTACCAATTAAAATGATAAAATTTGCATAATCACTTGTATTTAGACAAATGCGTATGTAAAAGTTGTTTCACCTTTACTATCATTTAATAGTAACAATAACAATTGATTTCGTCATAATAATTAATTTTCTAGAGTATTAATTATTATTTGGTCAACATATTACTTTTCTTATTTAAATCTAAATTTCTTAATAATGGCATTTCATATTTTAGAGCTTCATTACAACAAACATGTTTTTCTATAAGTAATTAAGTATATTCATCAGTAAAACTGGTGATGTTCTAGCTTCAAAATGTTTTTTTTTTAATTAGTTGAGCTATTATGTACACATAGACTGCATTATATCATCTTGTTTGTTAGTTTTCTTTTCAGTTGACCGATTATATACGCATTAATAGACTGCATTATATACACATTAATATATGGCATATTTTTTATAGTATTTACATTATAATTTAATGGCATAAATCATATTCTTTCCGTTTCAATTTTGTTGTCGTTGTAGAGTATAGTTTATGTTTCAAAATAAATGTCATTTTCTAATTTTAAAATAAAATTATTTAATTTTACCTACTATTTTATTTTTTATTGGTTGAAATATGGTTAATTGTATAATTAATTGTGTTTTTTTAGAAAATATGTAAATTAAATGTTTAGTTAATCTGTTTGTAAGAATATAAAATTACAACTAAATTGAAACGGAGAGAATATTATATTTAAGTATAACTAATATTAAATTCTCTATATTGATTTCAAGCATTTGGCACTTCTCTCAACTCGTTTGTTTTTATATAAAATCTGGAGCAAAAACACAAAAATCATATATAAAGACTACATTGTCATAATGTTATTGTCCATATTTTTATGCAACTGATAAAACTCTGGATCGTACTTTGTAGATTACTTCTTGATCATTTTTGATACATAGGAAAACTATTGGATTAAATCCAATTTTCTTTTCCAGTCAAGATGTAAAATGAATATTATCCTTTTTTTTTTGTTTAAAAAAGGATAATATCCTATAATTATGATCTTATAAACCAAAAGATACGCAAATTTATATTTCATCTAAACGTGTGTCAGTATCCTACCTTGTCTTTAAAACCTCTATGAAAGCTCTAAAATATTTCTTTTACAAAAATAAATGTCTCTAAAATATTTTTTTTTTGGATATACTTCATTTTTTTTTTTGGATATACTTCATTTAAACATCCAATTTACTGCATTGAAAGTCTGAAACTCAGAGAAAATGAGGCTACAACTTCAATTATGATGGGCAATGGCCCAATGCCAATAACTTAATGAACAAATTAAATCATGACTCATGAAAGAGAGTCTATGTCCTCTGAAACCCAGTAGAACAAAGTGATTACAAGGCTAAAACAATCACTAACGAACATATTAATTGGCCACGAACGAATTCATTCTGTTTTTTCCTTTTGCGCCACACAAAAAAACATGATTAACATCTAATGACAAAATAAGAAATATATCCTTTTAATTTTAATTATTGAAAATCAGAAATTCAGGTAACCCTTGGCAGCTCGTACAGCTTCTTCACTAACTCTGCCGGCCTATCGCCGTTTTTCCCCAAAAGATCGTTTCCTTCCTTAAACCTTCTCAGATTATCTCTTCCTTTTATCTCAAAGCTTCAAAGTCTTCTCCTTTCCTTCTTCTTTGATTTTACTGTTCATCAACTCATCTCTAATCAAAAGTCGAAACCTTTTCTGGATTTCTCCAATGGGTATTGCCTAATACTTCGATTTCACGCATGGAGTAGTAGAAAATTAACGCTTTTGTGCCCATTTCCCTCAAAAAGGTATCGTCTTGAACAGATACCTAGTTGGCAGCTAATTAGGTTTCTGAGCTTTCGACAACATGTTATAAGCATAGCTCTTGAATTGGATACGCATCGATTGTTTTTGGAATGGTTCTCTGATATTCTATGATTGGCTATAGCTTATCTTTTCGAAAGGCTGAGACTTTGATTCTTTAGCCTCAGAGTTAGTTTGTTTTTAAATGAGGTCTAATGTTTATAGAGCTGAATTAGAGAGTATACAAGTGCCCTCCTGAGTTTTGAGGACAAAAGAGAGAAGAGAATGGATCTATGGTTAATCGCAGCTACTGCTGCTACTGGATATGTAACCAAGCATTTGCAGAACGTATCCAAAAGTAAAGAAAGCTTCCCTGAGGATTTGAATTGTGTGAAGCCAGAATCTCCCAGATGTTTGCTTAGCAGATTGACAAGAGAAAAGAAACCACACGAAGACAACTTTGGGGATCGCATAAATGGGGAGGGTCTAGAGTGTGGCAATGCATTTGGAGGAGGAGAAATAGCTGCGGGTAGTGATGAGGAGATTTGTTCAGGTTCTTTTGGGAACAGAGCGTTTCTTAGGAGAAAACAGCGATACGGGAAACTTGTAAAGCCTTTTTCTACGGAGGGCGGTGTAATGTCTCGGTTACATAGAGAGGAATATATGCTAAGCCCGTTTCCGTCGCCATGTGGTTCATTTTCGAGGCCCTTGGTTGTTACTGATTGTACAAAAGTAATTAGCAAAAGCTCTGGAGACTGTATTAGCCAGGGAGCTCAGAACTGTGGAATCCGTCAGCTAAGGAAATTAGAAGCTTCAGGTCTTTATGCTAAAAGGAGAGTTGGAAATGCGAGTGGAAGATCTGATAATGTGATTGGTAAGCCTCTTTGCTATCTTCTTATAATGGTAATGGAAATGCTAAGACATTACATGGTAAGTCTGATTTTTTTTTTTTTTTTTTTGCTTCAGGATCAAAAGATGCAGCATTGCTGCTATGCGTTGGGATTTCTATTGGGATAATATCATCGTTTGTAGCAAACCAAACCGAAGTAAACAAGGTCAAAGAAGAGTTAAAGCAGACGGAGAATTTGGTAAATGATTCAGAAGATGAGCTTAAGAAGAAAGACTCATTGGCAGTGAATGATGACTTACACGATGGTGAAAAGACAGCAGAGAATTCAGAATCTATAAGTGAAATTGAAGCAGAGCTTGTAGCTGAATTGGAAAGGCTACAGATGAACATGAACTCATCCAACATTGAGACACAACCCGCAGATGTCTTCGAGGTGAGCTTTATACTCTTACTTATGCTCTTCGCTTTGCTTCCACATAGTTATCTCATCTTTACCTGTTCATTCTTTGCCTCCATAGTATATTTGATCATAAGAAGAAGTTCAGTTTAGTAACTGTTTCTCAATTTTGTAGATGGAGCCGGAATTTGAAGTAGAATTTGCGCAGGGAGAGCTGAGAGATGATGAGGTTGAAAGGCAGCGCTTTGATGAATCCGACTCCAACCAGGAACCTCTTGGAAATGCCACACCTGAATCAGGAAACTATTCAATCTCACCTCGTGAGTTAAGCTTGCGTCTGCACAAAGTTATCAACTCTCGTTGTGAAGAACGAATAAAAGAACTTGAGATCGCATTACAAGAGAGCCAGAGGAAAGTGGAGCAGCTAGTCATGGAAGCAGAGGAAAAGAAGAAACCACTGTCAAGGTTATGTGAAAGCCATGCAGTGAAAAGAGACTCAATTCGTAAGCATAACCCTGTAGAGGTCCAACCTCTGGTTATGAAACTAGCAGGGCCGGCACTTGATGCATTCAATGACTCTTATGAGGAACTGATGGATATAAACGATTCTTCTGAAGAAGGAGATTTACCATATGAGACTGAGCGGCGAGAAGAATTGTCTTTGACAAGCAAAAGCTCACCTTGGAGCTATAAAGATTATGTAAAGGATTCATCAAGAACTTCAGAGGATGTGAATTTCTTCAGCCTGCAAGATCTACTTGGTTTGAGCGACGAAGAAGATAGAGAGTCTGAGAATGAGATGGAGAAACAACTGATAAAACAGATCGTTGAGAAAACCAAACAAGGATCTTCTGCTGTGTTTAGTGCCCAGCAGATGCTATCTCTCATGGAAGAAATAGAACACACTCTATAACAAGCATAAACTGGTCAGATTCTCATTGTTTCTGATGAAAATTTACAGACTTCTCTAGTAAGTGTATAGATATATGTAAGGTTTGGTGAAACTTGTCTTGTGAGATCAAAACTGAACTAAAAATGAAAAGAAAAAAGATGTTAGTGTGAAACTGAGTGTATGTCTCAAGAACAAGCTCTTCTGGGGCTTAATTTCTTTTTTTTTCTCTTAAACTTCTAGATGATTCAGAGCGTTTAGAATTGTTGGGTTTGGATTGATAGTGGTAGGATTGGTAAATAAATAGATCTTGCTGGATTTTAAGGACTTTTAGTGCATTTTTCTATTTAAAATTAATTCAAAAAAAAATTAAAATAGATAGTGGTCTATTTTAGATTTTTTGTCGGCCATTTGGTGTTTATGAGCATTTGATCCCTTCTAGCTTGCGCGGAAATGTTTAAATTAAAAGATGGCGCCAAAAGCAACCAGAAGCAGTGAAAGAGTTTTCTTTTTAAAAAGAGGGAATATTAACAAAGAATCTAATGGCTCCCCGCGCAAATCTTTAGCTTACAAAACCTTTTTTTTTTTTTTGCTCACACACACCGAGTTTGATAGAGATGGCGAATTCAGTGACCCAAGATGGTATTGCGACAGTGTTATCGAGCCAATCGTCATCCTCGGTTCGACCTGAGATCGTCGTTCAAGTCATTGATCTTAAACCTGTTGGTAATCGATATACGTAAGTTTTTTTATCGATCAGTCTTACGAAAGTAATGTCCTAAACCCTAAAAGATTTGGTTTATTTCGATTTTGGGAAAAACAATTATATGTTTTATTCATCTTGATTTGTTTAATGTTTCATCTGGTTAGTGAAATGTTTTGACATGTAATTTTTTTGTTGATCAGGTTTAATGCTAATGACGGAAAAAAGAAGATTAAAGTAGTGTTACCTGCTACTTTAACATCTGATATCATATCAGGAAAGATCCAAAATCTGGGCTTGATTCGTCTCCTTGATTATACTGCCAATGATATTCCAGGCAACTCAGAAGAAAAGTAAATAATATTTTATGCTTCTTTGATGTTCACAGAAAATAATGATGTGTTAAGCATACATAACTAGTCTTCTGTCTTTTTCATTTTTATTTTTATTTCCTGCAGATACTTGCTTGTAACAAAATGTGAGGTTGTTGCTTGTGCACTTGACTCAGAGATTAAAGATTCTACAGGCATAGTGTTGAAACCAAAGGATAAGTTTGTAGCCAAATCAGCTTCTCAGAGAATCAATGAGCAGAGCGGAAAGTAAGCAGATTTGTTTTTTTTTTTTATTTAACTTACTTTCTTTCATACTCTTTATTATATTGTTATGAGTAGTGATTAAATTTATGTGGGTTTTTTTGCAGTGCTGCACCAGCTGCAAGGATGGCAATGACCAGGAGGGTTCATCCGTTAGTGTCATTGAGCCCTTACCAAGGAAGTTGGACCATTAAAGTCCGTGTTACAAACAAAGGAGTCATGAAAAATTACAAAAATGCAAGAGGAGAAGGGTGTGTTTTCTACGTGGAACTCACTGATGAGGAAGTAAGACTCTTTGATGCATTCTCTGCCTCTGATACTTATCTTAGACTTATGTGGTGATTGATTATTTTTTTATTTGTAATTGATGGAATTCCAGGGAACACAGATTCAGGCAACGATGTTTAACGCAGCTGCAAAGAAGTTTTATGACACACTCCAGATGGGAAAAGTCTTTTACATATCTAAGGGATCACTTAAGCTTGCTAATAATCAGTTCAAGACGGTTCAGAACGATTATGAGATGACTCTGAATGAGAATTCAGTGGTTGAAGAATCTAAGAACGAAGAAATGTCTGTCCCTGAAACAAAATTCAACTTTGTACCCATTGATGAGTTGGGTGCATATGTGAATCAGAAGGATCTTATTGGTAAGAGACGTTTCCTTATATAAAACTCTTCTTGTTTGTATGCAATGTTTTAGTATGATAATTAGGTTTTTGAATGTTGTCATTACATTTTCAGATGTTATTGGCGTAGTCCAAAGTGTTTCTCCAACGATGAGCATCAGAAGAAAAAGTGACAATGAGATGATCCCAAAGAGGGATATAACTTTAGCTGATGAGACAAAGAAAACTGTTGTGGTGTCCCTTTGGAATGATCTAGCAACTGGCCTAGGGCAAGAGCTTCTAGACATGGCTGATAAGTACCCAATCATTGCGATTAAGTCTCTAAAAGTTGGCGATTTTCAAGGTAAATCTTTAATTTGTAAAGTGAAAATATACTGTGAATATTGGCTGCTGATAGAAATTGATTTTGCTAGGTGTGTCATTGTCCACTGTCAGCAGAAGCAATGTGGTGATAAATCCTGATATACCAGAAGCTACAAAGTTGAGATCATGGTATGATTCTGAAGGTAAAGAGACATCTATGTCTGCTATTGGCTCTGGGATGAGCCCTTCTGCTAATAATGGATCAAGAGCCATGTATTCGGACAGAGTTTGTCTTTCTCACTTCACAACCAACCCGTCTTTAGGCACGGACAAGGTACTTCTACTTACTAAAATCTAAAGAGTAAGAAAAGTTGATTTATGTGGTCTTGTTTTTGTGTTGCAGCCTGTGTTTTTCAGTACTAGAGCTTACATAAGCTTTATCAAGCCAGACCAGGTAATGTGGTACCGTGCTTGCAAGACCTGTCACGAGAAAGTGACTGAAGCTATGTACTCTGGTTACTGGTGTGAAAATTGTCAAAAAAAGAATGAAGAATACAGCTTAAGGTGAGGTGATACTCAGAGTCATAAAAGTTCAAGAAAATAGATAAGATCTTGTTTGTTTTAATTGCGTTGCTTAATGGTGTGATTAGGTATATAATGGCGGTGAAAGTCTCTGATTCAACCGGTGAAGCCTGGTTTTCTGCTTTCAATGATGAAGCAGAGAAGATTATAGGATGCACAGCTGATGAACTCAGGAAACTAAAATCAGAGGTGAAAAACTAAAACCATATAAAAGATTTAGAGCATTCTTAACTCTCCATCTGAAATTGTGATGCTATGTTGTTTTTTTCCTCCAGGAAGGTAAAGTGAATAAGTTTCAGACAAAACTGAAAGAAGCTACTTGGTCAGAACATCTCTTCCGGGTCAGTGTTTCTCAACAGGAGTATAACAGCGAGAAGAGACAGAAGATAACTGTAAAAAGTGTTTCTCGGATTGATTTTGCTGCTGAAACAAGATTATTGCTCAGAGACATTTCCAAGAACAAGAACACATCTCAGTTTTAAAATGATTTGTCAAGCTTTTGTTAAACTAGAAGTCTCAAAGTAATTCACTTTATAGAAAACTATAGACTAGTTGGATTATTCGGATTTATTAAGATTGTTTTAAATTGATGTTAACTGATTAGTACAGTTTAAACCAATTTAAATTGTATAAATCGAGTTGTGAACAACACAAAAGGAGCAGTTGCTTCTTTTTATTAAAGAGAAGAGAATGAAAAGTTTCAAAGGATTCCTACCAAAATACCCAACAGAAGATTAACTAGCTTAAGGCAAAAAAAAAAAAAAAAAAAAGCCTAGAATCCACTGGAGAATCATCACTGAAGCTTAGGCAAAGGAGAACTCAACTCTTGGAAATTGTGAAGACTACCAGTGAAGTCAGTGAACAAACCATCAACACCAATCTTATTGATCCAATAATCATACTCCAAATACGCATCTTGATGAAACCCGGAATGCAGAAACTGGTTCTCATTACGGTATGTGTATGGATGCACCTACCAACAAACATTGTTCCAAATCAAATGATCATATAAGCAAGAGACATAAGTTTAGAGTCCACCACACAAACCTGTAGGTTACGTGAATGTGCTCTTGCAACCAAATCCGTTGGTGTAGTCAAACGGTTATCGATAACAGGAACAATAGTGTCTTTCCATGGACCAATCCCAACTACATACGGTTTAATGTAGTCTAAATACGCGTCTGATGTAATCTCAGCGTATGTCTGCATTCACATATACATATATAAGCAACTATAATTGATTTGAAAACATAAACTAGTATTGGTAAAAGACCTTGTTAGTGTCTTCAGTTAGGATAGTGACATCATCGATCAAGAACACTTTTGGTGAGTCTGTCATGTTTGAGATGTAAACAAGCGAAGTTGCAGCAAAAGACTGAATGAATATTGGCTGTTTTAGCCAATCTTTAGACATGTATGAGCCTTTGTATCCATATTTCTTCAAAGTTGCCACAATCTTATCCTCAAACTTTTTACCATCAGCCCATTTCACCTGCAGAAGTTTTTATAAAATTTAATTTAGCTTACCTCTTCTATTTTGTTTAATCATCAATGACTATTAAGTGAAAAAGTTGTTGCTTACTTGCTGATTGATGAAAACAGGGTTCTTGATCTCTGGATATATCCCAACAACTCTAGGTGCATTCAGTGCTATCGCTATATACTCGTCCAAAGTAATAATTGGGAACTTACCTGATAATACCAAAAAATTCATTATAACTCATTGCTCAAAAGTTGGTTTCAAAGTGTTTTATATATATATTACCATTGTATTGTTGATCTCTGAAAGGATACCTCTGCTTAGCCCCAAGTGTTTTCAGCTCCTCGAGAGTAAAATCAACTGTTCTTGGAATGTTCAATTATCTCATAGTTAAAATCTTTTTTTTAAAAAGGGGTTGTTAAAGTGGATTTAAGTAGTTTTATTACCAGTGAAGAAGCCGGTCATGTTCATCCCTTGAACTTCATAAGTTCTCTTACGGTCTGAAAACTCCTTGTGGTCAGCAACATCGGTTGTATCATCGAGATTAACATCGTGATGACATATCAGAACACCATCTTTTGTAGATAAGATATCAGACTCTATGAAATCTGCACCCTCATCAATGGCTCTCTGCAATAAAAAGATAACATAAATCTTAATGAAACATGACAAAGTTTAGTGTTAAAGTAGAAACATAGAAAGAGATGTAATACCATGTACGCAGGAGCAGTCTCTTCAGGGAACTCTCCGTTTGCTCCTCTGTGTGCAACATTGAATGGACGAGAAGTCTGAAGTGGTTTCTTGGTTCCAGCTTTTGCTAGACTTGGGAGAAGATACAATGGCCTTGAGGCACATTCAGCAATCAACAATGACAGTAAAAGCAACGGAAGAAAATCTGCAAGAGAACATCTACTATAAGATACAAGAAAACCATAAACAAAGCAACATAATGATAGAGATTAGAGACTTACTCTTGAAACCCATGACTGAATTGTGCTTGAGAATTCCTCCAAATATGCTCTCAATATATAACTAGAAGAACAAATAAAAGTTTTTCCTGGAAAAACGTAACAACCTCACGACTAAGCCTAAGATAAAGCCATTTACATGCAGATATTATCGTTGTCTTAAAAGAATATTCTTTTTTAATGACTATAAATCCTGGTTAATAGATATTACTGTGAACAAAGATATCATAATCTTGTTGAGTAGAAGAGAACGCAAATTGGAATTAGTTGTAAATGAAAAATTTAACTCTTTAGCATTATCATAGAATCCGAGTCACTGAAAACAAATCTGGAGCTGAGATTTACTAATATATATCACATAGGTGAAATCAGAAACTAAGACCATCAAAGTCTAAAAAAGAGACATCTTGAAGAAGTACAAAAGTCGAGAAAGTGAAAAAAAAAACTAATGGATGTTCAATCTCCTCCATTGTTATTTAGGTTTTCTTCAGACAGCCATGAGATCACCATAGTTACGCATGAGAAAGATTCCTCCTGCAAACACCCCAACTGCTCTCACAAGTTTCTGCACCAACAATAGATACAACAAAACCAAAACCAACAACAAAAGTATGTCGTGTCAGAGAAGGATAACAAAGTCAAACTTCACAACGCATGGACTTGTGAGATTGATAAACCCTAAAATCTCTAAACCCCAAAATTTACACTCAACTGAATCAATTCAGGATTAAACGAAGCAAAATAAAACCCTAAACCTCAAATCGTTATAATACCCAAAAAAATTCAATCCATTTCATAGAGAAAGTCAATGGATCTATCACAAGAGAAACGAATCCAACGCTCAATCCAAAATCAACAACGAAACAAAGAGAGAAAAAAAAGGTAGAAACTTTACCATGTTAGCAGCCCATTTTGGTTCATTGTGAAACTCAGAGTGCCACAATACTTTCAGCTGATCCATTGAGATAACACTCTTCACCATTGTTTGTTTCGGAAGAAGACTTCAACGCATCTATCTATTGAGGGTCTATTAAGTTTAGGCCTGGGGTTCGGTTGCCCATTTTCCGTCTGGGTGATTGGTATCTTAGGTGTTATGTTCATAAGTACCATTCGATTTTTATTAATTATCGAATCGGATTTGATTCGATTCCTTCCAAAATCAGTTCCTATCGGATCTAACCAATGTTCAAAATTCTTTAAAATTATATATTTTAAAATCTCAAAAATTGACAATTTTTTTTTCAAAATATATAAATTCTTTACAAATCTAATTAAAAATTAGTTAAACTATTCAAAATAATAAATAAAACAAACTATAAAAATATTTTAAATACTCTAAAATATCTAAATCACCTTAATATATATAAAAACATGAACATATTTAACTAATTTATGATATCTTCAGATCCTAGTTTGGATTTTGGTTCAGTTCGGATTATAACCAAAGTTCAAAGTAGTAAGTTCATAAGTACTGTTCGGATATTTTTGTAAAAGAATTCGGATTCAGTTTTGGTTTTTCTACATCGGATTATGGTCTGGTACTTGGGGTTGAGATAAAAACACCGAGGCCTAATTAAGTTTACCAATAGTAAAGCCTTTGATTACGATCTTGTTTTAAACTCTTGGGCCTACTCTTAGTCATAAGCTCATAATCTCAAAATCATTAACTCCATTACAAGGCCCACTAAACAGAACCTCGGTTTAGTATCGAACCGGGTTTTATTCACCTGAAATCAAATCTACGTTTCTCTCTCTCTCATCAATCTCTCATCAAATGGCGAAATCAGCAGCGACGGCGACATCCTCCCTTATGCAAACCCTCAGGCGATACATCAAGAAGCCATGGGAGATAACCGGACCCTGCGCTCACCCTGAGTACCTCGAATCCGTTCCCAAGGCGACGGAGTATCGTATCCGATGCCCCGCCACGATCGATCAAGAGGCGATCGTGCCAACCGCGGATCCGGAGAATGTCTACAACATCTTGTACCACGCGAGGGACCAGCGCAGGAACCGTCCGCCGATTAGGAGATACTTGTTGAAGAAGGAGGACGTGGCGCAGATGATGAATGAGAAGAAGACGTTCGAGGAGACGGATTTTCCTAGGGTTTATTTGACGACTACTGTGGAAGAGGATGAGAATGCTCGTGGCGGAGGCTACGAGTGATGAAACAGGTGAGGATTGGTTGTTAAAGTTTTTTAATTGGAAAATGATTTGTTGATTAGTGTAAAGGTTAAAACTTTAGGGTTTTTTTTTGTCTGAAGGATTTAGATTGTGGGTTTATGAGTAAGTGCAGAGCATTGGGCTTTTCGTTTGATAGCTATTAGGATTAACTGTTAAAGTATCTTAATGGGCAGATGGTTTGTTGATTCGTGTAAAGGTTAAAACTTTAGGGTTTTTTTTTGCTCAATGATTTAGCTTTGTGATTTATGACTAAGTGCAGAGCACTGGGTTCTCGTTTGATTTTTTTAAAGTTGTAGACTTTCTTAGTAAAGCTCTTTCCTGGTGACTGTATGATTTTTCAATTGGGAGAGTATTTAGTGAAAAATCGTTTGCCATAAGACTAGTTGGTTTGCTTCGATTATATGGGGAATAGTTTTACTGTGTAAGGAAGATTTTGGGTGTTCACTAGTTAGCTGGTGAAGTTGGTTGAAGGGTTATCTCAACGGAAAACTCAAGTTTCTTAACCTATCACTAGACCATTTGAATTAGAGCCAAGGAAGCTTTTTCGGTCTTCATAGTAGTAAATTAGATCTGTGGTGGAGAAAGAGTGTGATGACATCTGCGAGGAGATGTTTGGACTATTTGTCCTGTGCAATTCGGTTGTATAGCTTTAAAGGTAAAGCTCGGTTGAAAATAACGGTTTCTGTGTCATTAACGTTATGGTTGCTGTAAGGTTTTACCTACTTCTCCCCGCTTCTTTAGTTTTTTTTCAGAGAGTCCGACTTGTCATTTTGATCTTGACTTTTGATGATCAATTAGTTGGATTACTGAAGTATATGTGTAGCGGTATCAAAGAAATGGGAAGTTAAATTGGAATCGTCAGTAATCTGTTGAATATATTTTAACTAGTTGCTGAGACCGGATATAATGTCTTTGTGCTTTAGCTTACAATTTATTACTGCTGGAACAGTTTAAGTAATTCAAATGTTCACGTTTAGTAGCACCTGGGTGTACTAATAAATGGCTTATTATTACTTGAGTTTCCACTTCTCCGGACTGAATATTTTTTTTGTTCCTTTCTTTGTAGGTTTTTGCTAGTCTCGGGTGTTTTCTCCTGTAATCTGCTGTTGGGAGACGGCTCTGCGTGTGATATATCTCACTACCGAGAAAAATATTCGTTTGCATTATCTAATAAAGTTTGTAGTAGCTTTATGTACTACAAGACACTTTGTTGTTCAGTTTAATTCCCTATGTTTACGAGAATAACAGTATAAATGCTTTTTTTTTCCTATGGTGAACTCATCGTTATGTCAAGTCTCTAGTCTTATTAGAATGGTTGCTACTGTAACAGAGAGAAACAGGCAATAAATAGTCTGTGTTCTTGGTTCATTAGATTAAAGAACCAAAATAAATAAACATTAAGATTTAAGAAGCAAAATAAATAAATGAGAGGAAAAGAAACTGAACTATGGTGGACAATTTCTGCTTGAACGAGTATAAAAAGAAGATGATGGAGGTGCGGGGAATCGAACCCCGTGCCTCTCGCATGCGAAGCGAGCGCTCTACCATATGAGCTACACCCCCAATTTGATTAAAATGATCGCGGGTACATTATCAAATTATAAAACTATTTGGAGAATATCCGCCGTTGATTCATATGGGATCCACATGTACAGAAATGTTTGGGATATTCAGTCGACTGTTCGAATTCATTAGGTGTATCGGCGTCAGTGCACATGCGTCGCATTTAGATAAGCATTTCTTTTGCTATTATTCAGGCACACCGAAAGTGGTTGTTGTCTTTAGCTGGACAAGAGGACGGCCTGTCGGAAACGGATTCGTTACCAAACCGAACCGAAACAGTAAAAAACAATGTTTTTTTCTAAATAAAATCCTTTGTTTGCTTTCGGTTTATCAATACTTAAAAACCAATCAATATGTTTTTTTTTTTAATAATCAGTAGATATAGGGAGATTACTTACATTACAACTCTGCTCAAATTGCTAGAGAGAGAGAGAGAGAGAGAGAGAGAGATCCGTTTCTGCTTCAGTTTTGCTTTTTCGATTCTATCTAACTAAGTTTTCTCGCTTGTCCCTCGAGAGATCGACAGTTTAGGCTTAATTAAAGTCGTGTTCTTGGTTGGTGTAGACAAAAACCAAACTTCAAGTCTCTTCAAACCATACCATGAACGACCTTCTAAAGGTGAGATTTTTTTTTTTTGTTATTTCTTTGCAAAAAGGTTTCTTCTTTTTGTTGATTTCCAAAATTAGAACCTTTTTTATTTGGTTCTCGATTGAATTGGATCATGTAATGTAATATATGATGAATGCTGCACAGTCCATGAAAGTTTCCTATAATGTCACTTTGAGCAGAACTTGAGTGTTTTATGTATATGAAACTCTTTTGTGTGAATACACATACTTAGAAGTTGACTTGTTAAGATTATTTGATAGCCTTTCTCCCTTTTTTTCTCATGCAAGACTCGAAGAGTATATGCTTTGTGAGGGGTTTAATATGCTCTTCTTTTTTTCTATAGGGTTCGTTTGAGCTTCCCCGAGGTCAATCTTCTAGAGAAGGTGATGTCGAACTAGGCGAACAAGGACCTGATCAAGGTTTAGATGATTTCTTCAAAAAGGTCTGCTTCCATTTTCAGTCATACATACTACTCTCTCAACTAAAGAAACGAGTGCTCTAAATTTCACTCTACTTAAGTGCTTCCTCTTTTGTCTTGTTAGGTTCAAGATATTGATAAACAATATGAAAAGCTTAATAAGCTTCTCAAGAAACTCCAGGTATGTAATAATGCCAATGACTTTTCTTTTTTTACTTGATGCTATTGGCTATCTGCTTTATGCTATTCTTTTCATTTCAAAACACATGGTTCAGTTTTACTGACGAGATTACCTATTTTCAAACCCTATAGGGTGCCCATGAGGAGTCAAAAGCTGTGACCAAAGCTCCTGCCATGAAGGGTAAATATTTGTTTATCTTGTTGTTGGATATCTTTTAGTGCTAATGGTGGTTTGCCTTAAACTTACATAATGTTTGCTGTGTTGCTCCTTATGTAATTGAACAGCAATAAAGAAGAAAATGGAAAAAGACGTTGATGAAGTGGGAAGTATTGCTCGTTTCATAAAGGGGAAACTCGAGGAGCTGGACAGAGAGGTACAGTCACTGGCTCTTTCTCTTCTAATTTTGTTGAATTTATTGGTTTCTTTTAATATGAGTATTCATTGGAATGTTGTAGAACTTGGCAAATAGACAAAAACCTGGTTGTGCGAAGGGCTCTGGCGTGGATAGATCAAGAACAGCAACAACACTGTGAGTAGATAATTTGATTTTGACCTCTTTGGTTATAGGATAGTGTTCAGCTGTTTTTCATTCAAATCCACTACAACTTGGCTAGCAGATGCTATAAATGTAACTTTTCTTTGGTATAACTTTTATGAGCTTTCATTGTGTGCAACAGTTCCTTAAAGAAGAAGTTTAAAGACAAGATGGCCGAGTTTCAGGTGGGTTAAGATGGACTTTTTCATAGCTATAAGGAAACTGTTAGTTCCTAAAACTAATGTTGTGTGACTTCTTCTAGGTTCTAAGAGAGAACATCCAACAAGAGTATCGTGACGTTGTTGATAGGCGTATTTTTACAGGTATGTACGTTGATGTTATATGATTCCTTTAGTCATCCCCTTCTACATTTTCTTCTCTCTTATTATTTATGTGTGTTTTTTTCTTGCATTAGTAACTGGACAGCGAGCAGATGAAGATGTAAGTAAAGCAGACTCTGAGCTTTAAATGGTCACAGAAGTTCGAATGAAAATTAATGCCTTTGCCCTTTCTTGAATTTTTTCCAGACAATTGATCAATTGATTGAAACTGGAAACAGCGAACAGATCTTCCAAAAAGCGATTCAGGAGCAAGGAAGAGGACAGGTTTTGAGCTTTTTCCATTTTACTTTCAAAATTTTGAACATGCAATAGGGTGTGCTTATTTATTTAATGTTCTCTCTTCCAGGTAATGGACACGTTGGCGGAAATACAAGAACGTCATGATGCTGTCAGAGACTTGGAAAAGAAACTTCTTGACTTACAACAAGTATGTTGTTATTTCATATTCTCCTACACGAAATGAGCATTTTTGAATTGAGTTTTGATAAATTCTATTAATGAAACTCCCTTTCTTTGTTTGATCTTTAAAAGCATATTCATCAAGGTTCCCTTTTAATGTTTTGCAGATTTTTATGGACATGGCAGTGTTGGTTGATGCACAAGGAGAAATGCTTGACAACATTGAGTCTCAGGTGAGTAATAACATCACAATGCTATATGTTGACCTTATGTTGGTACACTCTTTAAAAATTTAAATTGTAAGTAATGATTGAGTTCTTTGACCAAAAAAAAAAAAAAAGTAATGATTGAGTTTTGTGTTGACAATTATAGGTGTCAAGTGCAGTAGATCACGTGCAATCAGGAAACACGGCTCTTCAAAGAGCAAAGAGCTTACAGAAGAACTCAAGAAAATGGATGTGTATTGCAATCATCATCCTTCTTATTGTTGTTGCCGTGATCGTTGTTGGTGTTCTCAAGCCTTGGAAAAACAAGAATGCTTAGAGGAATACAAAAGATTAGTGTACACAACAACCAAAACCATCCTTACGTAAGGCCTTTTCTGAGTGTATGTTTTATGAAACGTGTGAAGTTTGTAATTTTACAAAAGAAACGAGAAAAAAAACAAGATTCAACATTCTTTCTAATTGGATCAAGCAGACCAATTATTCTATCAAGTAAATATACATTGTAATATTATTTTATAAAGTTTAATATCTCAAATTTAGTAATTAACATAACCAGAAGATAATTAATGTGTTTATATGATGTCAACTCCTTTATTATATGAACAAGAGAGTAGACTAAGCTACCCGTCGGTCTAGTGATTTCACTTCTTTGGCCAGATTGCGACCTCAGTGTAACCATCTTCGGTGGCACAAGCTCTGAACATCCCGTTTGTGTTAAACGGCATTGCAACTTCACCATTAGCAGATACAGCAACGAGACCACAGGTTCCTCTAGGTCCGGAATGTTCGACAGCATAAGCCGCTGCTTCGGTTAAAGACAGACCTTTGTATTCCATAAGTGCAGCCACTTCTCTAGCCAAGGTTGCACGAATTATATATTCTCCTTTACCTGTTGCTGAGACGGCACAGAGGTGGTTAGCGTATGTTCCTGCGCCGATAATTGGCGAGTCTCCGATTCTGCCAGCCATTTTGTTAACATAACCGCCGGTTGACGTGGCCGCAGCTAGGTTTCCAGCGCTGTCCACGGCTACACATCCGACTGTTCCTGTTTGGCTGTCCCCAAAAATCTCAGGTTCTTTCGGTGTAGGCGCTGTGTAATCCAACTGTGATGAAATGTAGAATAAAAGAACTGAGAAGACAGTACACTAAAGCGAAACACAAACCTGAGTTACCAGATTACCTGGACTCGGTTAAACTCTTTGGCCTGTTTTAGCCTTGCGATGTTTTCAGGAGTAATGAAATGGCTTGATTCAACCGTCTCAACGCCCTATCATCAGAACATAAAACTGAGTGGAGTTAAAGTATAGTAATGAATGAAGGATAAAAAAAAGAATCATTTTGACACTGACATGTGTTCTAGCGAAGTCTTCTGCAGCGTCGAAAGCAAGATAGATATGAGGAGTTTTCTCCATGACGAGTCGAGCTAAAGAGACGGGGTTAACGACAGTGGTGAGACCAGAGACAGCTCCACAGCTTTTGGTTTTACCATCCATAATGGAAGCTTCCATTTCAACGGTGCCTTGAGCAGTTAAAACAGAGCCTTTACCAGCATTGAAGTCTGGATGGTTCTCAAGTTCACGAACCTTAACAATAACAGATGAAACTTATAGCCAAAGAGCAGAACAACTCTTATAGACTTATCAAAGCAAATGGATCACTGTAAAATTTCAATATAGTGATTCTCTGATCAATCAATCATGCAAGCAAAAACCCTAGGAGACAGTAACTCTATTATATACCTTTCATGGATCATTTCAGATTTACCTACTGCTCTTGGTGTCTCTAACAAGATGATTCAGAAACTAATACTGTTAACTTTTTTTGTAACAAACTATTTGATGAAGTGAATCACAAAACGATCAGATCGAGAGAGAAAGAGAGAAGCGTACGACGAGTTCGGTGACGTCAAGTGGATGTTTGCCGGATTTGAGGGCGGAAATGCCGAGATCAAGGCAGTGACGGAGGGCGGTCTCGCGAGGGATACGTCGCTCGTCAGGGAGGTCGATCGGAATGTCTCCGCCGCCACCGTGTAACGCTACCGCCCACCCCACCATCGCTTAGCCGGAGAACTAGAAAATAGTAAAATACACACTCTCTCACTCACCTTCCCAAACACTTAAAAAGCATTTAGTGGACTCCTCACCATCCTCAAATTCCATAAAATATTATTTAAAAATCTTCTTTTCACAGTGGCCACTAGATTCTTTTCTGATGTAAGAATTAATGGAATCATATAAAACTCTCTTTAAATGTTTCGTCACACTACACTAATAGTAAACAAATCAGCTTAAGTGTAAACTCAAGTCAAGCCATGTTAACGCAGCTTTTTGAGACGTCTCATGTGCTTCTTCAAGTTTCATCTTGAAAATACGATTTTTCCGATTCCAAAACACCCTAAAATCGCCACAAAACTGATCAGTTCTCTCTATGTATAAAATAACAATTTGGTAAAATCATACGTGAGAAAATACTAGTAATTTTGTTTGGTTTTTACCTCTATGATCATGATGGCTGCATCCTTATGTACGAGATCATTGTGGCAAGCAAAGTTTTGAACGCAACTGGGGCAACCACTTTCAGCTGAGCAGCAGCAAGCCTTTAACAGATCAAGCGAAGCTTTTAGAAGCTCTGTGAAGAAGGGACGGATCTGCCAATCAAACCAAAAAAAAATATTTACCCAAATTGAATGAACAATGTATACTGGTTTTTCAAAATGTGAGTTTCATTTTCATTTACCTGAGCGGATATGCCGGTTCCCCCAGGATGACGATCATATAGTAAGATTCTTGATGGAAAATAGCTATTTTCATTCGGATTTGGACATTCCGGAGCTAAGTCTGAGTAGTTGCAACGCACAAATCTAGCAAAGAAAGTACCAACAACAAGAAGAAACCAAAGAAAACGGAAAGTTGTAATAATCTGTAATGACTCCAAATGTAGAGGAGAAAACAAGAAAAACAAATAGTACGTACAGTGGAACCACATGGAGAAGAGCGTGACAAGCAGCGTGTAAACCAGAACGAAATTTATCATTCCCCACTGCTTTTTTTACTGACCCAGGAACTTCAATCCAAACAGCCTATTACACCGGAAAAAGATATGTATAATTGCTGCGTTAACCGATTAATAGACCAAACCAAACGAAATGGGAACCCCCTTTTCATATGTGTGTGTGCGAGGCTGCAAGTTAAAAAGAAACCTGTGATTGGTAAGAGTAACTTGGGAGTGAGAGATCAACATCTTCATATGCTGTATTGGTCTTTTTCCGGATACGGCAAAATCCAAACCAGTCTGTTTTCACACTACAGGGTTGAGCTTGTGCTGTTGTCTTATCAAGTTGATTCTTTGGAGCCTTGAATGCGTAAGCCTGAGAGACAAGAACACGGTAATGAACTAAAAAAAACTATCACACAAGAGAAACCACAGTTAGGTTATGCTAGAAATACTTACAGTTTCACCACCAGTTACATGGATATTTGTGCAATCCCGAGGCCGGGTGTAGTAATCCACGTTTACTAATTTACAAAAAGCTATCTTTTCTTTTGTATCCAAAGCCTCGACCAGATAAGTCCTTCCTTGGTTCATATAAATAGCTCCTTCATAGACCTGGAAAAAGGCTTTGCTTTCCTCTATTTCTTCAAGGACATTGTCACTTCTTTTTTCCACTACTTTGTATCTTTCTGTCTCTATGGCCCGGATAGAGACTCTCTGCGAAGGCTTTTTCTGAGAAAGCGTTGTCCAGCAAAATGTTTTCAGAGCAAGGGTTTAGAATGGTAAATTTTAATGTAATGCAGGATATACCTCTCGACCAATATAGTTCCATATTCTAGCAGAAGAATCACGGGACGGATCAAAACTTAAGAATCCTCTGTTCTTGAGCAATTCAAGAGTGTTGCTTAGGGAAGAACCAAAGTGTTTTTCATCGTACTGCAAACTCAATGGGTGCTCAACTGCAGCACAAGCTAAATGCTGCGCAAGGACCTGCAAGAAGCAAAGTAGAAAAGCACGTCGGTATTGACAGTCCTCAGAATAATCGAGAAAGAATAGAATTAAAGATCGCAGATTACAAACCTGTTCATTTTGAGAATCAAGATGGCAACACTCAATTGAACTACGGAAGAGTTTGTTCGGGAATTTCATGAAGTATTGGTCAAGAGGACCGTCAAAGGCAACATATACGGCAAGAGAGGGCCTTTCTCGTCTTCCAGACCGACCCGCTTGCTGCCAAAGACTGAAAATTCAAAAGAGATCAGTCGTTATCTACTGAGCTTATAGTATTTCAGTTTTTAAAGGGAAAAGAAAAGAGCCGAGCAGATGATTCACCTGGCAATACTGCCGGGAAAACCTAAATGCAAAGTTACGTCTATGTGACCGACATCAATACCCAACTCAAGTGCGTTTGTTGCAGCAATACCACAAAGCTTTCCACCGAATAATTCACTCTCTATTTTCCTCCGATCCTGTTCTTGATCTAGTTAAAAGAGTACATCTAGAACAACACTTAAGTTGAGATTAAAAAAGAAGACGTACCTCAGCAATGTAACCTCCACGATATGAAGATATGGCTTCAACAAGATGAGGAGCAGTCTTAGCGAGAATATCACGCCTACAGCATATTTTGCACATCTTAAACTCCATCAACATTTTTATATAGTAAAAAAAATCGAAAAGCCTGGAGTGAGAATTTAATTGCTGATTTGCAAGAGAACTTACGTAAAACACAAAACAAGTTCACAAAGTTTGCGAGATCGACAAAAAGCAATGCAGCGTAGGCCATGCTGAACCATCTCTGCGAAAAGTTGTGAAATTTCAGAAAGTGGGCTGCAATGAAATGAAATAATAACTATGGTTAGCTACTGATTGATGACCATAAATTTGATTTCTTGAAAAAATGGCAAATGACAAGAAATACCTTGATGATTTATCTGCAGCATCTCCTTTAGTATTTATGTCGTTCGAGCTTTCTTCAGATTTCTGTAATACAACAGATAAAACAAATAAGGAGTAAATAAAGTCTCAGAGTTGATTCATATATATCCAGATTTCTGGACCATACAGTTGTTGGGCGGATTGTAGGACTCCACAGGACAAATAGCTTTTTTGAGGAAGGACTTCCATCTTTTTCTATCAGCTCGAGCTCAGATAGGTTTGCAAGCTCCTGCACAATCAACAAGCCATGTTTTGATCCCGTAGCATGTATTTTGACAAGCACATACTATATCCAGATAATCAGTAACGTAGGCCTACCATGCAATGTTCTCGAGGATTAGCAGATGTTGCAGTACAAAATATGAATGAGGGACTGACGCCATATACTGGAAATAAGACATGGTTGGTCAGCTAAAACTGTGCATATACAGATTTTGTAATGGAAACTATTGATATGACCATGTGATCAGTATTGTCACCATGAGAGCAGAGGCGGCGTAGTCTTCTCAATATAAGAGCTGTATGGCAGCCAAACGCTCCCTTGTAAGTATGGGCTTCATCGATTACAACGTACCTAATATGTTCCACGTAAACTCGACTTTAAGTCATGGATTATAAGCAGGCCTTGTTACTCTCTAGACCAACCATTTTGTGCAAAGTACTTAATTTTCCTTCATAAGAAGATGTGTTACCTAAGGTTTGACAAAATCCGTCGGAATTGCCCATGGAGAGGCAAGATTGACATATGTAACATATCAGGATTTGTGATCAGCTACATCCATATATTTCAATAACGCTAGTTAATGAAATATGTATTTGGGAATTCTGATGAGAATGAGCTAAGGAATCACTATTCTATTGGATAAAGAAAGGCAGTACGAAATTACCAGTCTACCGTTATTCCGCAGCCATGTTCTATCCTTATAAGGAGTATCACCATCGTACACCCCCATATTTATGCTATCTTCGTATCCTTTTATCAAATCGGACAACGCTCTACACTGATCCTGAGCTAAGGCCTATACAAATCAAATGTGAATCAGTTTATCTCCAAAAAGAAACCAAAATTAATGAATTTTCAAAACACAAAATGTTTTAGAAATGAGACAAGCTGAGTCACCTTGGTTGGAAATAAGTACAAGGCACAAGCATCTGTATCAATGGTCAATTTCTCAAAGACTGGTACGTTATAGCAAAGAGATTTGCCACTGGAAGTCATGGTTGCAATCACAACATTCTTCCCAGACAAGGCTGCTGAAATCGATTCAGCCTGATAAACAAAAAGAAAAAGGTTCCAGCCAAAATGAAATCCATAGACTAAGAAATACATTACAAGATAAGGTACCTGATGGCTGTATAATGCATTGATTCCAATCCGTTTCAAGGCAGACTTTGTGATTTCTGAGAGCTCATCTGGTATTTCGACGTAGACAGGTTTTCGAGCATTAATATCTTCAACATGAACTATCTGCATCAGGAAAAATGAAAATAAAGGAAGTAAAGCTTCGTGCAAAGCTTTAACTAAACGAATGGAGATTTGCTCACAAACCAGACCTGAGAATTCGAGGAAGCACAGAGTAAAAGAGTGAAAGTGGGAGACTAAACTACCTGTCCTTTAGACCCAAAACCATTCCTGAGATGTTCAACCATCTCCAGTGGTAGCAATGGATTTGTGCCCTGTTAATTGAATGAATATAGTTAAAACCTAACACCATGTCTACACATAATCAGTGGTTACGCATGAATATAGAGTACAACCCTGCAAACACTGACTGCTATTGCATGTGGACGCAGTAAGAAGATATCCAAAAGGGACAAAACCAAAATCTAAGTTGTCAACAAATCAACTGAGCCACCGTCCACCAAAAGGATTTAACTCATACATAAAAAGGTATTTATTCAGGACCTATACTTCTAGAACGGGCTAATAACAGAATAGGTACAGCGTCAGTATCGGAGCAGACTCTTACATGACACGACTTCCGGGATGAACGAAAGCCAGGGGAAGAAAAATTATCTTTTCCAGTCTGTCTATCTCCGTTTACACCGACATGTTTACTTTCCCTGGCGAAGATAAGCATATCCTCCAAGGAAACAGCTACTCCCCTCTTACATTGATTTTTCATCTGAAAATCAAAATACTTTAGAAATCCAATAAAGCAAAATTTATGCTAGACCGAACCGAAGTGATGGAATAATGCTATGCCTAAGCTGTGACCTTCATCGTAATTTTGACAGGTTTACACGAAAGAATAGGTTGGACTGGAGTAATAAACATACCAGTAGCGCCTTGATGGACTCCCACAATGCAGCCTTAAAAGAAGTCTCCCGCTTTTTCATAGAACTAAAAACCTTTGAAAGTGGAGTTTTCTTCAAACCTATATAACAATGATTTGAAACAAACGCTAGTAAAATCTTAATAGGTAACTCCCAATAGCTTGGATTACGAAAATATGTACCTGGTTTTTCAAACTTTTCACCTCCATCTGTTTCAAGAAAATCAGCTATAACTATAGCATTCTCATAGTTAGCAGCCTCAAATTCATCAGTAACAACCTTTACTACCTAGTACAACCACAATGGTTACATACAGAAACAAAAAAAAAAAAATCATTAAATATGTGAAATTGTCTAGAAACATCGAAAAAATCACCTTGGGGCATAAAATTGAAAGATTCTTAACGTCCTCCACACCGACACGAACTCCAGACTTTCCTAACCGAGCAAGCGACTCCTCCAACCGTGTAAAGTACATTTTTTCTCCAAATGACTCAACAAGAGAAGAAAAGAGGTTCAAAAACGTGAATGTCTCCATCGACAACTTCAACCAATCTGGACAAGAACACGAATAGCTACTTGCTTCCCTAGACATCAAACACTTTGCAAAACCAGGAGACGACAAGCAATTCCTAGCCTTCAAAACCTCAGCAAGCTTCTCTGTATTCTCTCCCTCGAACTCATCTTTACAATCAGACTCCAAAACACCTTTCAAGAATTCAACTGGACACGTCTCTTCTTCATCACGTTTTCTTTTCACTCCAATGGAGGCTGAAGCTTCTCGAATCATTGTGGAATACGTGGCATCAGAGAAGCTTGAACTCAATGGAGGCTCTGATAAATCAGGTTTGGGAGTTTGTGAACGTTCCTTCTTAATGAAAGGAACCAAAACCAAGAATTCACCGGCATTAACGGCAGTAGTATCCACTCTACTGTTCAAACTCAATTTCGAACCCTAAAATTGAAACATATTGATGGTCAACAGTCAAACACAGGGTTAATTCAAAACCAGTGACAAATAATAAACACCAAACTCGAAATTTCAAAATTAAAAATAGAACGTGAAACCCTAAACGGCCTGATATAAAACCAACCCTATAAGAAGTTACAACGAGTGTGGAGCATAAGCATTACCTGGAAGAACAGATTGAAATTGGGAGAGGAAGAAGCGGGAGGGAAAGAGGATTTTAGGGCAACCTTGAGGTCGTGAATCGTTCCTTCCGAGGGAACCTGAACAATCGTTGATTCTCCGGAGAGTGTACGGACGCAGATCGCGACAGTGTTTCCGCCGCAGCGACTCTCCTCCGCCATTATCGAATTTACTGTTGTGTTTGTTGTGGATTGCTTTTTATAGGTACTGTGGAACGGCGTCGTATTGACGCGACGCGATATGGCGCGGAATTTGACACGGATAATTGATTCGGCACGTGCGAGGTTATATAAGATTTAGATAATAACCTAAGACGACCTTATAATATTCAAAGAATTCAAATAAGAGCCCATATTAGTTTTCTTTACCTAATTAAGCCCAATTTCGGAATTTTCCATCACTCAACGAATGAAATATTTTCAAATTTTCATAATATTGTCCTGATTTTCGTGATAACTGAGCATTGTACAATTCAAGTTCAGACCTTTTTGGTTTCTTTCGTCTTAAATTGTCTTCCAAATATACATAATACAATTTGTTGATCATTTAACAAAAAGAAACCATATAGATACAGGCTCAAATGAGTAACAAAAACTCGAAATGCATTCGTGATTGAGTAGAAACCATTACTTTTATGTCTTTTTCTCCAATTTTTTCATGGTACAAATCTACATACACCTAAACAAACCAACGACAGAAAACCCTATAAAGAAAACACATGAAGATGATTAGTATTTAAAAGCTAGTGATTGCAAGTAGGCTCGAGCTTTAGCAGCCATGACTAGAGATTCCTCATCTTCTCTTTCCTTTGCAGTTGTCACAGCTGCAACATATGCTAATCTTGCATCTTCCATTTTCCTCAGTTCGGTTTCATCTACATCATCCTGTTTTTTCAATATAGTTGCAACAGGTTTAGATAAGACTTCCCTGAGAAGGAAAGATGATAGTAGTTGATTTTTTAACTTACTAGATATGGAAGATGATCAAACTGGTATGGGGTTTCGTCATAATCCCTGTCGAGTTTCTTGGACTCTGGTTTGGCCAAAGTTTCAAATACACGTGCGAAGGAAGAGATTTCTACTTCAACAGCATCTAGCTGTTCTTGAAGCTTGACTGCTCTCGTTCCTGTTGTCTTTGCTTCCCATTGAGTCTTCTCAAGAGCGGCTTGCCTGTCTGCAAGTTTGATCTAGTGAAGACAGCGAAAAGAAGCTATTAATATTTGAAGATAATAAGATAAAAAAAAAAGAGGATTCTTTAGACATGTATGCCTCCACAAAATGGTGTCAAAGCATTAGCAACAAGTACTCTCTATTTTCTTCAAAACAGAGATTCAAAAGAAAAAACGGCCTATAAAACACAGAGGAGACAATATGGAGAAACATAACAGAAAGGGTGTACCTTTGTGTCTGATAACTGTAACTGCATAGACTTGATCAACGTATCCTTTTCAGCAACCAACCGTCTTGTTTCTTCAAGCTTCTCTTGTATCTCGTTTACCTGATTTCTCTTTGACATTTCCACTGACTTTAAAACCTCTTCTTTCTCTAAGAGTTTTGTCTGCAAATCATTCACTTGCTCTCTAAGTCGTGTAAGTTCGTCCTTTTCTGCACCACCCAAAGCCTTTGCGTTTTCACCAGCTTCCTTAGTATCGTTCACAACATCGCTATTTCCCTCTACGTCTCTCTTCTTTCTTCCTGGGACTGTTTGAGAAGCATTTCTTCCCTTTAAAATCAAATAAATGCAAAATACAAGTTAACAACTGATACAGTCGAGACTTAAACAAACAGTCACCTTAAGATTCGTTTGATAAATGAGAAAAATGGAAACTCAAAAACCTCCTGTTAAAGTTTCTTTAACCAAACAAAAACAAAAACCCACTATTATAAAAAACGTTTATTACATACGATAAATTTTGAAACAGCTATGACCCCTTATGTATATGTATATAAAAGAACTTATCAAGCCATATATCAACTCTCATACCCAAAAAGGAAAAGAGAACAAAAACTAGTTTCATCTTAGTAACCACCAGTGTGAAATTCCAAGTGAGAACCTAATTAAAAAGTCTTGTACTATGCAACCACACCAAGCAATGATGGTTCATGCTATAATAAATGATAGATCAAAACAAGTAACTCACTCTTCTGGACAAGGATTCTTTGGAAGGCATCTTCGTGTAGACCATGGAACCTCTCCTCTTAAACGAACTCTTTTCTTTCTGTTCCTAATAATCGCGTTCAAATGAGAAGAAAGATATTAAATTTCAGCTTAAATGTGAAACCTATACTCATCTTTCAAAAAAAAAAAAAAAAAATCCAAAATCCATATCACATTTTACACATATCTACAATTTTCCCAAATTGGATCTATCAAAAAGTCATCAATTGTTTCAAATTTCGAATTTGCCTCTAAATCGATCAATCAAATCTTCAATCCCACAGGAGCTCCAAACGTATTCTGCTGTGGTAGAGAAATGTTACCATGAATTGCTCGATGAGGGGAACCATCTCAACGAGATCTTTCAAAAGACGCTGATCTAGATTCCCGTTGCCGGAGTTCGTAGCGGCGGCGGATTGGTGAGGAGGGAGACGGAGATCGTCATCGCCGGCGAGCCACGAGCTATCATCCCCAAATCCACCAGAATCGCTTTGCAAATCCACGAAATGCCGTTGCTGCTGCTGCTGCTCATACATTTTTCTCCCTTCGTCTTCTTAATAGATCTGCTTCAGTTATTAGTCTTCTACGCCAGAAAGAAAGAGAGAGACAAAGAGAAGACTTGAGACTCTTTTTTTTATCCGCAAAATTGCTCTTCTCCAAGTTGGATCTCTATTTTTTTTATCCAACGTTCATTTGAAACTACCTTCAAATGACCGATATGCCCTCATCTTCTCACACCTTTTCCCTTGATTCTTGTTTTTGAATTATTTCCTTTGAAAGCAACATTTCCTCTTTTTTGTGCTCCCTTTGGAAAATGATAAATTAATTTTTTTTTTTTTTTTTTGTCAACAAATGATAAATTAATTATATCGTGTGTATTAAGATTTTAAATTACTTTTACCTAAACTCGAGAAAAAAACTTATAATGGGACTTCACTATAGTTATGTCTTTAAAGATTAATACAAGGTCCAAACTCCAAACAAGATTTTCTGCTGTCGTGCCGAAAGTGGTCAATTCAATTAACGCGTCATCGTTCATTCAGTAGTCAATTTACAAAAGATGACACTCATATAAATATTCGCCTTTTGAGTTTTAATAAACCAATAACAAATAAAATGTATTATCACAGGAAGCTTACGGTAATAGTAAAACACTGAAAGCCTTCCTCTTAGTGAAGATATTAATCCATTGAAGAATTGAGATTACAGTCCAAAATGCGGTTAGCATAACCGGGTCTCAATAGTCTTAGGCCTCAAAAAGATTATGGACCCACGAGATAAAAACATTATAAGAATATAGTTTCGAATGTACAAAAGAAAAAAAAATTAAGATTGAATATATCTATAAAATTTTGAAAAAAGAAAAGCCCTGTTTGAGAGATAAAGAAGTAAAGAAAACAGAGGATTCGACTTTGGTGGTTGGTTATACTTATACCCGAATGTGTGCAAGCAGCTTCTTTTTGTTTTCATTTTAACTTGTATTGTTCGTCTTGAGCCGTTTTGGTTTCCGACTTTGCTTGTCATCGTTTCCGGTTCGAGAAACCGGTCCACGGAGTTCATGATTCTATCAAGTAGTAAACAAAAACTAAAAACCATCAGTATCAATGTGGTTTAAAATGAATCAGGTAGACAATAAGTAGTTAAAAAGGAACCTTGAAGGAAGAGGATTGTTTAGCAAGCTCGATGTCCACGGAGATGCTTGCTTTTGTTAAGTCCACTCCTGAATTCTCCAATGCTTCTCTAAGCGTTTTCACTAATCTGATACACAAAGAAAAAGCAACAAAGTTTTACTTTTTTACTTTTCAAACTGTTATGAGGTCAAAAGAGTTAAAGAGAGGAGCCATTTTAGTTTTACCCTTGTGAGTAAATAGTTGATATACTGATGTTACCCTCATGAACTTCCTCAGCATCACCTTCTTCTTCTTCTTTCAATGGCTGAGTATGACTTCGAGAACTCGCGCTTGGCTCTACAGTCTCTGATGCTGGGAATCTTGTGTGTAACTGAGTTACAGGATTACCATCAGTAACAGGAGAGAAGAAACTGTTGGTTTGAGCTGACAAAGGAAATGTCCCAGTCGTTGGCGTTGTTCTGTTCAGTGTTTCTTGATGATCGATAACAACGCCTTGTGCTGTTGCAAGGACCGGAATGTTATTCTTCTCTTCTTCCAGTTTTGGAGCAAAAGCAACGTTTCCTTCAGGTACTAGCTGTTGGTTATTTCTCTGCTGTAATGTAAATGGATCAAACAAATTAACATAACATCATTTGTCTGCTTTCAGTTTTAAACCGGTAAAAAATAAAGATTGATTGGAAATGCCATTATATTTACCCAATTCATTAGCTTAGCAGGTTCCTGACTCCATCCTTGGTAAGGAGTTTCGTACTTGCTTGTTTTCTCCTGTAAGAATTGAATATACTCGATAACCTGTAGGAAGTTTCGAAAAGAATCTTTTGGATATTAGTAACAAAATAAGACTGAATCTACTGTTACAAAAAAATTTGGTGAAATGATGCCATTCATACCTCTAGCAAGAAGGAAGCCTTGTCCCGCTTTTGATCGCTGTTAGGTATTAGTTGTCTCAGCATTTGAAATCTGCACAGAGATCCATTAACAATGTATCATTAGTCTCTTCTCTCCGGCTATAAACCAATTCTGGCTTTTTCTACTTACCTATCATTGATCTTGCTCCTCCTCCGTTGTTCTGTAGCAGAATGTTTAGACCTAGGCGTGTTCAGCTTTTGATCGTTACCACCTCCTCTGGCGTCTGCTTTTCCTCTTAAATCTACTATAACAAACAAAATTAATCAGACCTTAAGCTGTAACGTTGATGATATCTAATAAAGTTCAAACCTCTATGGATCTGGCTAGTGGAGGAACTTTCTTTCTTCATGACGAAATCCTCTTCATCGTCCAAATCATCATCCTGTGAAGTTCCTTTCGCTGATCTTAACATGTCCATGAAGCTAGGGGTCTTAATACCAGACCCTCTGCAACCAAAGAAAGACTTTATTTGATCAGCCTTTTTAAGTCCATAGACTTAAGTAATAGATAAAAGAGAAGAGATGAGGACATACTGAGAGGAAGAGCGAGAACTGAAACCGCTCAACGGATTATTTGTCAAAGACTGTGACCTTCGTTCCACCACTGGCCACTGTCCCATAGTTGCTGCAACATCAGCTAAACAATATTAAAAAAAAACATATTTCATCATTTCACGTGGTTGCTTAAACACTTGTAACACTAGTCTAATTAACATTAATATTCAATTTGTCTTGTTACCTCTGATGCTAGCTCTATCCCCAGCAGCATTATTCTCCTTCCTTGTCTGTCCCTTTTTCACAGAACCAGATTCATCCCACAGAGTGAACCCGCTTGCTACAGCAGAGTTCAAATTCTCGTCCACAACGTTTCTCTCATTACCACCACCGGCTTGTGCAGCAGTAGCAGCAGTGAACATCATGGGTGGTGACAGCTCCGGCTTAGGAATCCTCTGCTGATTATGGAAATAAGGAATAGGACTTATCGTGTACGTTCCAATCCCACCGGGTAGAACGTGTTGCAGCGGTGGAGGCGGTGCAGGAGGAGGTGGCTTCTCAGAAGCTACCCTGGTTGTGTCAATCCTACTTGTCTCTTCTTTAGCACCAACACATTCTAACGGTTGTAGAAAATCGTGAGTTTTCAAGTGGCTACCTGCTGCCATGTTTCATTTTAAACCATAAGTGTTGTCATTCACATTGTTTGACTGTAAATGCACACACAAATATATAAAGTAGAGTTAATTCAACATGTGGTAGTTATTATACACTTATGTAAGAGGATGACATGTGTATCCCTTATTTCATTGGGCTTTGGCACCAATAGGGCCCAATCAGATAGCAACATTTTGATCCATGATTCGTCTTAAAAAGGGGTCAGGTCAGATCAGAATAGATGCACGCGCGGAAAAAACGTGACGCCTTTAAGAGAATCTTTTAATTTAAAAAAATACAAATAAAAAGGGCAAAACGGTAAATTAATTACCTTGAGAAGAAGGTGTAGGCTTTGGATCTGGGTGGAGAGTTGAATGACTACTGCAGAGCGATAAAAAATCATGTGTTGGTTTTCTCCCTGTGAAAATTCTTCTAAAAATCAAAATTATAAACGCAAAAAAAAATAAAGAGAATAACAGTTGAATACAAAATTAAATTCTCTTTTAGAACAATACTTTAAAACTATGTTTTATATTATTAGTATATGATACAATAGTGTTACCTTGGGCTTTGAAGGGACGAGGCTGAGGAAGCTCCATGAACAACAACAATAACAGTTTCAACCGTTCTTAGTGTTTTTTTTTTCAAAATCACTCTATGCGCGGGGAATTATTCCTTGCAAAAATTGACGTGAATTCTCTGAAATTCTACGGAATTATGTAGCTACCAATTCAGATCTGCGACTTTTAGTGTAGTCTGCTCTTCTCCGATGCTCGTGGAAGAGAAATTGAGCTTGAAAATTCAGATAACTCTCCAGCTCAACGAGATTTACTGAATAAATCACCAAAACAACAGAATTCAATAGATCTGTCAACAGAATTGCAAGTTTTAACCATAATTCAGCAGAATTCAAGCTCAAACTAACCGAATTTCGCATAATTCAAGTCAACTATGAAGATCCATAAACTGGATTCCAAGTCAAATCTAAAATCAACGAAGGATACGATTTGTGCTGTAAGATTAAACAAAGCGTACCTTTCGGATGACGAAACTACGAGGGAAGCTTTGGATCTCTTAGTCAGAGAAACGAAAGAAGGTTTAAGTTCCGATATGGAAACTTCTTCGATCTGATCGGGAAAAAAATAAAAATCAGCCAGAGAGCTCTCTCACTCTCTCCCTCTCCTTCTATCTTTCTTTCTCTCTCTGTTTTGAGAGGTAATGAGAAGGCGGAGATCTTTTATACAAGTCATTATAACGCTTCCCGTTTTTAACAGCGATACACTCCGTTTAAACGACGTTAATTCTGACGGAGTCACGTGGGTGGATAGTTGGATGTGTAGTTTAGTTTGGTTTTTTTGTAAGTGTAATAATAACAGAGGTTTTTATCCGTTTAGCGGCGCTCAAAAGTACACACGCACAAAAATTATTATCTATTGTTTTGTGTTAATCGATGCTCTTTGTTTTTATCTTGTTCGACGATCGCCATTTAGATTATTTAGTGTTTTATATTTAGTACTCTTGTTTTTACACATATATTAAAAAAATATATTTAATTTTACATATTTTTAAAATGAGAATACAATTATTTACACACTTAACTATTTTTCAACCAATAAAAAATATAATATCATATAAAATTAATAAACTTTGTATCGAAATTCTAAAACAATATTTATTTTAAAATGAATTTTTTTTCTAGAATAATAACTAATTCGAAACGGAAGAAATATTATTAACTATAACTCACAGAGATATAGCTTAATTTAGTCCAGTATAATCAAATAACTATTGCTTAGTTGTAATGAGAAGAACCTTTACTGCTAATATTGCTAATATAACTTTTATTATATAGCTTATACGGTTTTATAATTTATATCGACTCTAGAGTCTCTAGCAATTGATTGACATTTTTTCAATATTCATTGTCGGCAAATGAAACTCACATGCAGCTATTGAATTTGAACTTTTATAGGCATGCATACGCAAACATATGTTCATAATTCAATCATAGAAATAGTGAACATTAAATCTTCACGATTCATCATTTAATATTCCTATAAAACAGCTTGTAGTTGTTGGTGGCATTGTCTTCTACTCCCTCTGTTTCATTATAAGTGTCTCTCTACGGCTGTGCACACAGATTAAGGAAACAATTAATTTTACTTATTTAACAATTAATTTTACTTATTTCCTATATAAAAACACAGTTACCTATAAAGCTAACCCTATTTTAACCAATAGAAAAATTAATTACATAATAAAATTAATAATTTTTGCATTGAAAACCGAAAACGACACTTATTTTGTAACGCAAAAAAATCTCTACAACGACACTTAATATGAAACGGAGGGAATATATATTTTCAATTCACTGTATGATTTTGCGTGTCAATGCACTCTACTTATTTTACTATAGACAATACAAATTACGCTGACTATTATTCGTCGACGTAAATGCAACCAAACGAAAATCAATAAACTACGAATTCCATGTATTTGTTATTCATTTATTCGTATATTTATCGTATTTCATAAACTGAATATCACCAAAATTTAAATGAAGAGAGAATATTATGGCATTTGATGAAATCACGTGTTTTTCATCATTTTCTGGTTACTTATTTGTAACAACTAAAATTATAGTAACTACATAAAATAAATTTATTGTTTCCAAAAAAAATCTTATATGTGACTATGTCTTCGTTTAAATAAAAAAATCAAAAAAATGTGACTAATCTTGATATAGATGTGCGATCAAAGCTCGTTAGAATGCACACTGTAAGAGGGAATCAACTGCGTGTGGTCTGTAACATTGCAATGCTGATTCGTCTGTTTTGGGTGTTGATTGAAAACTATGAGCTGCTAGCTAGGTTAGCTGAAAATTATTCAGTTAAGAGTTTGGTAATTAAAGGTTTGATGATACTGATAAATTTAGAGTAGAATTAGGCTGTATAATGATGGACAGGGGACAGACACAATTTTGTACGTGTATGCGCTAAGATGTGTTTGTGTGAGTGGGCATCTATGTATGTGACATTAGGTGGAACAAACACAGCTCTTCGATTGTGCAATGTCATTAACAATTGTCAACGAGACTATGACCATAATCAAGATTCTAATCATGTAAGCTAATCCCACTTTCAATTTAGTTGTGTGCCACTTGTTAGTACACCTTGTTTTTATTCGAAAGTTGTATATACAACTAAACCAAATAGACAACTTACACTATATGTATAAAATAAGTTTGAATAGCATTTACCAGACTAGCATTATATTGTATTATATTGTGGACGGATTTGAATTAAATATTTGGAACAGAAATATATAATTCCATTTGTTGTTGAACGGAGTGTTTTGGATTTTTTATTTACATTTTGATTTATTCAAATCTTTTTTTTTTTTTTGAAGATAACTTATTCAAATCTTAAACATAAAAATCATATGAGGGACCAGAATATGTAAGAACAAGAGGATAAATTAGTCTTACTTTTGCGTGCGAGTTAAAAAATGAATGTATATGCCCATGCCATCACTTTCTTTTGGATTAATTCTGAAGATATAAATGAAACTAAGACATAAGGGAGGTGAGGAACTATAGCTAAACAGTGTTGGATCACATGAAGATAAAAACGATACAAAATAGGGAAAGGGCAAAAACAACAACACATCCCCACATGCTCTCCACTTTGTCCCGTGAGTTGTTAGGCTGTGTCTAGACACGCTTTCCTCTTTTTATTTTTTCTCATATAACACATGAATGTTACTCGCAATCTCATGGATGTTTAATTATTTTTTTTTTGTTGTAATGGTATTATATTTAAGTCACGGTATCTCTATTGCACAAATAACTCATTAGGCTAGCAATGAATTATTTGTATATTTGGTTGTTTAATTAGAGAATCAGAAGAAGAACAAAAAGAAAGTAAAAACATAAAACAAAATGTCAATTTCAGAAGTGAAAGACGGGGAGAAGAGGTTAGCGTGATGTCGTTTTCGTGCTATAGTAGGGCCACGTGAATTGACTCTGCAACTCACGTGAGAAAAATACTGTATAATCTCAAGAGTCAGGACATAATAAATTGATTTTCGAACAAGAATTAATAGGGTCAGTAATAACTCGTGTATACTTGTAAATGTTTGTTTATCGGCAAATCGACCTATCCTCCTAAACCGTTCATGGTTCGGTTTGCACTTTGTTCATCTTTCACTTCTTTGTAAATTAAATTCATCAGTATTGCAACAAATAAATAAAAATCATTCTCTTATCTTGCATATATAATCTTCCATAAAAACAATAAACACAGGAGAAAACCATCAGGGAATCAATAAATTTATAAAATATAAATTTGATATAAGATTTTTTTTTGCTATATTATTATATCATATATACAATATATGATCCAATTCAAAATAAAATCAATATGAGATCTCATATCACAACTCGCTAGGTTCATGCACACGACAACAACTATTTTTAATCAATCAAGAAAACATATCTTAACATATTAGTAGCTATTAATATATTACAAATGCTCTTGCCAAGAGTTCCATAATTGATCAAACATTTGCCTTTTCAGAAATCTAATTGCAATTTAAAACATTAGTTCCTGAAACTTTAGCATACACAAAGAGTGTATGGGAGAGCACCTCATCTGAATTAGCTGGCTTCCTTTACTTCTTTGTTTCCTTCTAAAGAGGACTATTAGTTGTCTCTAATCATTATTATTTTCTTAATAGTATATAATCATAAAGTAGATTAAAAAAGAAGAATAAGAAGCTGGATTTCAAGAAAAACAAATGTATTTTGTATTACGGACATTCCTCTGTACATTGCACAGGAATCCTCTTAGGGATCAGTTAACAATAGTAGATTATGTATCATGTGTCGTATGGTACAACACAGGATTAAATAACTAATGATGCATTAAATTAAATTAGATAATAACGAAGTTTTAACCAACAAGGTCGGATCGAAAGAAGGACACGTGGCTGTTGCGCCGCGTGAATCACGCCGTATCACGTGATAAGTAACCTTTTGGCTGCCTACCTCAGCCTCCCATCCATCACGTGGCCAACTCACACCTCTCGATTATTACGGGTCCCACATCTTTTGTTACGCTATCCCGTTTCAATCTTTTCATTTTTTTCTGTTAATTAATTTAAATCACGAATGGCAGAATTGTTATAGGTAAAATTAATGATAGAATTGCACTATTATCCAAATATGAATTAGTTTTGAGTGATAATTGTGAGATCAAACAATGATGTAAAAAAAAAAAAGATTAAACGATTGTTGAAAATATCACAAGAAAAATAGTTGAAAGCTGTAAAAAACAAAACAAAAGATGGGAGTGAGATTAGAGGAGCAGCATAGTCACGTGTGCCCATTCCCTGCCGTTAAACTGCAACACTGCCTTCCGTCTCGCGTGCGGTGGGCCCCGTCATCTCTATTCTCCATATAGTCGCCGCACTGTTGAACCTCGTGACGCCGTTCAACTCCAAACGTTGCCGTTAACTTATCAAATATTACTCACTTCATTTACAAAAAAAAAAATACTCACAACTAGGACTAATGTTGATATTATAATGAAAATATCTAAATTATAAATTTGAACCATAAAAACAAGTAAACTTGACAAAAAAAATTCAATATTAACCCTACTAGATTGAAATAATTATTGTTTGAAATTATTATTGTAATAAATTAGGGTATGGGATTGGAAAAACAAGGTAGTGAGATTTTGATGCAGGCAAATGGGAGGAGAGGAGAGACGTGAGAGCACGTGCCCGTTAAGAGAGAGAAGCGGTGGTGACCGGTCACTTTCTCGTGATGGTATCACGTGAGAGAAATTAACCCATCTTCTTGGGTCCCATTTTTCACTCTGACAGAACAATATCAGGGTTACAAATTCGAGGTAAAGTAAACTGGTGGGTCATATTTGTGAATAATATTATTTTCCTAGTCCTTTGGTGAATAAATAGCACACAGTAGTGAATGTGTTGCTCTCTTTAGTGTAAAAATTATAAATTAAAGTTTTATGTAGAAAAACACAAGAAAATGTCATTACCAACACAATCTTATTACTAGTAAGTAAGAGATCAAAAGAATAAAGTCCGTCTTATATATAATCAATACTTGAACCTGATTTTAAAAATGTGTTTTTCAAAATTATTTTTTTAAAAAGATATTGGTATTTAGTTAATGGTGAA